CACCATCAACTGATAGAATATGAGGTTTATACAGGTCACTTATAACTTACAAGGGACCAAATGGCAATTAACAAACATATAGCACTCACCTTACACTTCATTGTCATTATGCTCTCAAAGACAACCAAGACTGAGGGAAGGCAAACTCAGTAGGAAAATAACGTCACTACAAAATACTCCATTATGGTAAAGAGTTTATCAAATGAATGAGTAGCACTGCAAAGGTGACTGTGCAGAAAGGATGTATGCACATCATGTATTATTTTGAATTTACCCCCTATGTAGGCACTTGTGTCTTGCGGGGTTATTGACTCAGAGGATGTCCCCGCAGAGATGCCTTCAGCCACAGGGCACCCACTGTTTTGGCTGAGGGCCAACTGCTCAGCCTCTGTGAGTGGTGGTGGTGGAGGACCCCCACCTGTTTTTCGGGCCTCCGATTTTTTTCTGTTGGCTATAACGGGCCACATTTGAGCATACAGAGTAAGAAAATATGTACTTGTAATGTGCTCAGATAATTTCAATAAGTGCTTACAGAAAGAAAATTAATGTAGCCTCTAACTGCAATTGATTTACATAGGACAAACAGACCAAGCACTATGGCTCATAATACAATTACACCTCACCTGTTTGGACTATATTTTTATATTTCATTTTTACTTGCTGCCAGGCACGTTTGGGGCCTGTTGGGTTGCACCTGCGCTCACATCACATCACAAAATAAAATGTATAAAATAACAAATAAAATAACATATGATAAAATAACGTGTTAAATGGGTGGAAATCCCTAGATCAATGTTTAACTTAACACTCACGCATTGACTCTGTTGGCTATGTTTTGCCATGCATGCTCCCTTTCTTTTGCAGCTGAGGCTGTGTTACTTTTTTCCGCGGGATTTGCATGTTATCGGCATATGCTGCCATCAGAATTTCGGCCTCAAGCGCTGTTGACTCGCTTAATCTGTGCTCTGCTTATCAGGGCTTTATGTATCCTCGTCCGCGCGCTTCACTTGGGGTTAAAGCAACTCCGCGTTGACTGAACTAATTGTTATCAGCCTTTCTGAAACCGAATATTCCGAGTTGGACAGTTCGGGGTTACTCAACCCTGAGTATCGTTTTTCACTCTGAGTTTTCTAAACCGGCTTCCTGAAATAGGGCCCTGAACATGAAGGGAGAGCACGCAGGGGATTTGACAAGGTATGAATACAGACGACGCGACGAGGAACAGAGGCAAACACACACTATAAGTACACAGAGAGACACTGGGAAATCACACACAGGTGGGAGACACAGCTGGACCTGATTAACCTGATTAACCTGACGAGACAGGGGAACACTAACACCAGGGACCAATAGAGGGAGCACAAACCCAAAACCCAGTATCTAAAATCCCAAAACACAAACCATCCCAAAACAGCCCAAGAATAATAAAGAGAATAATAACAATAAAGAACACAAACACAAAGTTACCGAGTCATGGTCGCAGGACCATGACAGTCTCGTTTGGTGCCAGCTCATATAGTTCGGTACGCTTGGGATGTTAAATCTTCAGGGATGAATATTTAGAGGTGGTGTAACTTAATGCATTTTGTTTAAAAAAAAGTGGGCAATTTGTATGCTTGTTGTATGGCTTGTTGTATGTAGTATGTTTTTTTTTTTAAACAGTGTGAAACAGACAGAGGTATACCATGAAGTTGCTCGTCACTTCTTTTGTGGTGTGACACCCTACATTTTATTCTCAGGAAGCCAAACTAGCTTTGCAAAAGTAAGTAAAAAGCAGGACGTTTTGTTGCTTTTAGTGATTTTAAGTGCTTTTTCTGCATTGGCTTTGAGCGTGGGAGTAAATGTGGTCACATTTGCTCAAAATAAAACTTTTCCATTTTTTTTTTTTCGCACTCAGGAATCTGCAGTTCAGCTACTTGCAGCAATGATGCGACAGAATGTGCTTGTATATCTGCTTTTTGTCTACGGAGTCCTTCCAGCAGGTAAGAAGCCGGTTCAGCAGTAACTGATGTTCACATTAGAGGTACAACAGGTGAAACGTGTTTGCTTTTGTCTATCAATCTTTGAAAAGAAAAGAAAAGCTGAGGGAGGTGGCATCTGTTTCTTTCACTCAGTTTAAGTTTGTTGCATGAAATTCTTACTGTTCATTTCCTCGATGCAGCTCTAACAGCAGTGATACAAACACAGCAGACTGTGCTGGCAGCTGTGGGAGAAGATGCTGAACTGAGCTGTCAGCTCTTGGAGACTAAAGACATCCTTCAGGTTGCATGGCAGAAAAGTTCAAATGATGTGGAGACAAATGTTGCCACCTACAACAAGTACTTTGGTCAGAGAGTGAATGACGGCTTCACAGATAAAGTTAAGTTTAAATATATTGGACTACAGAACTCATCGTAGTCATCAGGAATGTGACATAGGAAGATGAAGCCTTCTATCACTGCCTGTTTAACACTTATCCTGAAGGCTCCTTCACAGGTAAACCCTGCCACCAAGTTTATGGTGAGAACTTTTACCTTCTTTAACCAACAACAAGTGCCTCAAGGAGGACATAAATGTGTAGGCAGCTTGTGTGTTTGTAAGAGCATGTTGATAATATTTCCTGATCCTTCACAGAGCTGCATGAACCTGTTGTTGATGTCAGAGAGTCAAACTCTACTGAAGAGTAGGTTGTTTCCTGTTCAGCCACTGGTCGACCTGCTCCCACTGTAACACTCAGTGTCTCACAACAAGACCTCAACTTCTCACAGTACAACACTGTCAGTGTGTCCAACACCAACGCTACATTCACTGTCACCACTACAGCTCTGCTCTCAGGTTCACGTAACAACAGCACGCAGGTGGAATGTGCAGCACGAGTGCTCTCTGCTCCTCACAGAGAGAAACGATGGTGATGATTCTTGAGGTCCAACAGGTGCATGGTGGGAATGACGATAATGATGATGGTAAGATGGTAAAGGAAGGTACCTTTTTCAAAGTCATTATATATATTAGGGTTTGTCACTACTCTGTAATCCTCATGTCTAAAATTCTAGATTTTAAATTAAGTCTAATATTTCCTGATTTCTTTCAAGTGTTTTATGTCACATTTCCATTTGTTTTCTTCCAGATTTTACTTGGATCATTGTGTTGGGTGCAGTGATCTGCGTTTGTGTTGTTGCTGTTGTCACTATTCTTACAAACAGGAAAAAGGTAAGTCTTTTAAATGCTATCTGAATTAATCTAACACCTTTGCTACTGTAGCCTAACTCTTTGGTTTGACTCCTTTGTTTTGTCCTGCAGCTGCTCTAAAATATATGATGTGATTCAATCCGCAATCAAAAACACATATGGCTAAGATACCTTTGTCATATTGTTATTAGAAACCCTGATGCTCTCAAGTTTTTTTACTATATCTGAAACCTATTGGCTGTCTTCTGTATTTTTCTAGCAGACAGCTGATCATTGTATACTTAACATACAGTACTTAACAAAATGCATTTAATCAAACTGAATCAGAAGGTCTGATTGTGTCTAATGTGTTCTGAAGCTTTGAGAGTTTGTAATTAAATTTAATTGTCTGGATGCATGTTTGTAGCTGTGTGTCTTTATTTTTTTGTCTGTGTGTTTATTTTTTGTAATTTTTGTTAATACAATTTTCACATTGATTTTTATTTTATTTTCATGTTTTCTGTTCATCAAATAAATCATTTTATATAACTGCTTCCACTTTGTCCATGTAATTGTTTTCACCTTCATATTTACTTCTGCTTTCGGTTACATTTAAAAGATGTATATAATGTAACAAAGGTTTAGGCCACTAAAAAAACAAAAAACAGGTTTGGGGTCATGACCTTTTTCAGAATAATCTAAAATCCAAATTCAACAAAGAACAGAAAAAAGGTTTATAATAACTCATAAATATTTTTAATTTTCCCTTTATTAAAAAAGACGACTTAGTCTACTTGAATAAACACTTTAAATAAAATAAATTAAGGTTATTTTTGAGCTTCTTTGTGGCAGATTAGCTCTAATAACGAATGGTTGAACCTGTGCAGTTGATTTCTTGAACTGCAGTTGCGCCATTCGGCCTCTGGGGGTCTCTGTTTGTTCATCTTTCCCTTCCTCAGAGGGTCGTTTGCAAAGTTCATGGGCTGAAAAAACGCAGAAGGAAACAACACGCTGGAGTATTGGTTTAATGTACGAGCTGTGGATTATACTTTTCCAGTTTCACCTCACCTGACGCACAGGGCGAACGCCGGGTCCCATTTGTCTTTGCGGATTAAACTCTGTCAGCAGGTATTTGTTTATTTTTATTTTTTTCCTTGTAAATTCTGAACAGTTTTAAGTAAGCACGTGCGGAAGGACTGAAATATTTTTAAAGGTTAACGCTTGCATGCTTTGCATTTGTTTCTTTGAGCGTTTAAATTGAACCCACCTGCTGCCAAATTCTTCACAGCATCTCTAACTTTGACCTTAACCTTCATAGCGAATGACTGTGATCGACTTAAAATGACTTGGATTAATATAAACTCAAACTTTATCACACTTTTCCTGTTTTGCACCTGTGACTAAAGTATTTTAAAGGATTGATATTTACTTAGATATGCTTACTGATATTTACTGTGCATTTTTCATGCATTGCACTAATCTGTCCCTATTATTTTATACTATAGTATTATATAGTATATTATTAAGTACAGTGATTTTCTCATGAAAAGAGAATTCGTTTTGTTATTTGAAAAATAAAAATGTGATAACTTTGTTTTTAAATGTGGGGGAAATTATCTTTGTGTGTGTGTTGTTGTTGTTGTTGTTGTTGTTGTTGTTGTTGTTTTATTTATTTATTTATTTATTTATTTTAGAAATCTGTTCAAGATGTGTTCAGTCTGTCTCCTGAGGGTGGATTTTGGTTGGCACCCAGGTTTCACTTCCTCACTTGTTGATCTTGAAATGTTGTTGTCAGTCAACTTCTAGCTCCCTCGCTGTCTCTTCCATTGATGACTTGCCTTGGATGTGAAGAAAATTAGGCTGGACTTTCACAATAAAAGCCTACATCTGTTTGGCCTTGTTGACTGAGTCTCCCAGCCTACTGTGAGACATCAGTATGGCTTTATAGTGGAAAAGTGATTTAACTGTTGCCCAACAGGAGCAGGCAGCTTGTTTGAAGCCAGATGGCTGACAGTGTAAATGGTGCAAAATAATGCCCGTAAAAGCTGTGAGGTCTGGACGTGGTCTGTCTTGTGGTTTAGGCAGGTTTCTCTTTACCAGTAAGTCCACTTCACCTGACTCAGAGCAAGTTTAATCAAAAGTCACTTTGTGCCAAATTCCTCCAGCCTTTTTCTCCAGGATGCGGAGAGCTGATGCAAGCCAAGTACAATTCACAAGTAAAGCCACAGTGGTGACTTTCTATTGTCTCTGTGAAACAATGAGAGCAGAGCTATGCCAGAGTATGATGTTTACAGCTTACTCACTGCTGGGCTCGGCTGGTGATTGCACACCATCTGCTTTGCATGTCCTTGTGCATGCTGTGCTCACCTTAATGACTCCCTCCAACCTCCATCTTCAGCATCCGGCCACTGTAATTCCTTTGTGGTTGCAGGTATCGATGTCGAAACCTCAGGGCTTGATGTTGTCTATACATGTAAGAGGTGTGCTTGTGTTGCGTTGCCAGATAATTATGGGCTCACCGGAGTGAGCGCATGCTGTTGATTAAGATATAAAACCCCCTATTAGACCCCAGGTAATGTTCCTTGAATCAGCATCTGTTGTTGTTGATGCTTACAAATCGCCATAGAAGCAACTTTTAAAGGAAACTAACCGTGGGATGCACAGATGTCCAAAAGAAAAAAGAATACTAAAGAAAAAGTTTAATTTCTTATGATGCTGACGTCTTTGCTAATGTCCTCCTCTGGCTTTTCCATTACAGCTGACAGCTTCCCAAGAACATGCAGGATCTACAGTTCTGACCAGCAGCGGCTCAACAAGTAGAGCACTGGACAGCTGACAGGGGTATGATTTTTAGGAATATTATTTCCTTTTTTCTTTGTCCTGTTTATTTAGCCAGAACCTTGAGGTTTCCCCGCTGCGATTAAGGTTGTGGTCAAACTCCCTGACTGCGTTTGTGTGTGCAGCTGCAGTCTGGATGTAAGATTGGGTCAGCGCTTGAGTCGGTTACCCTGCTTCAGTGTGCGATGTGTGGGTCCTCTATCCCGCTGCGTCTGCTGCTCTGGATCGTAGGAGCAGCTGTCTCTACGACGCAAGGTATTCCAGATACGTGTGCGTGTTTAATTTTTGAGTTTCTTCTTTTTTTCTGTGTTTTTGCAAAATGATTATAGCCTCCTTTTTTACATGATGATTACACTTGCTGCTATAACCAAAGTTTCACAATGGCCTAGGCTGTTTTCAGAGCAGACTGTTAGCTTACAAACCGTAGGCATGAGATTGCAAAAGTCAGAAAGAGAAAACTCTAACTTTAGTGAGTTCATTTTTGTTTAATGGTGAGCTTGGTTTTGCATGGAATTGCCTCTGCAAGAAAGTAACTGCATATGTCCTGGTTTGTCTTCATATTACTCTTGCTCTATATCATAACTGTAATTATTTTTTATTTTTAAGAGTTAAAAAAAATGCAATTATCTAAGATTGAAGCAGTTGTGCCCAACCTGTTTGACTTCTGTTTCGTGTCGCTGATGTGATTATTTCTACATACCTTACTAGACTCATTAGTTCGATGCATAATTGCACAATATTTTTGCACAGCAGCAAATGTGTTTATCAAAAGCTGTTTATAAAAAATGGAATTAGCCATCGTGTCATCACCAGTTGGTTGTGGATTTTATTCTAGGACTTTTACCCATTGCTGTTTTATTTTTTTAACCACATCTGACAAGTTAGAAGCCGAGCACAATGCACTGTCATACAATAGCAATGAGGAACCCCCCACACCACGGAAGACAGTAATTGATAGTCTACCCTACTAGCTTACTCTAAGTGGGACCAGAATTTAATAAATGAGTTCCACAATGTGTCAAATAACACTTGAAACTAGGGATCTGGTTGGTTTATTGGCGTGCTTCAATAAACCAACCACAAAGTCTGTACTGACATATCAGTAAAATTTGAAAAACCCTAAAGAAAATTTAGGGAACCCTATTTTTTTTAGGGTTCAGAATAAAGATTTTAAATTATATTCTAATTTTATTCCATCTAGTCATAGAGTTCAGGAATCTGATCTGGAGGTCCCCTCCTCCTTCTACTAGTGATGTGTTATGAGTATGTCCTGGGTAAACCCAGGACACATTGGTGAGATTATGTCTCTTGGCTAGCCTGGAAACACCTCTGTATTACCCCACGTGATCTAAAAATGGATGGATGGAATTTTGTATTTTTGTGTAAACTTCATTGTAGGTTCTCCATTACCTGGGCATTAAAAAGGCCAATCAGACCACTTTTAGTCAACCATAAAAAAAATTTTCCAGAAAAAAACAAGTCCAGATGCCCCCTTTTCAAGCCCTCACAACTTTGTAATGCAATAGGGTTTTGTTTTTAAATTCAGTGTTACTCTTACTTCCCCACATAATTACCAGTGAAAAAGTCTTTAGAGTTACAGGAGCTGACTCTGTGTTTGTGCCTTACGTCAGGTAAGGTTTTAGCTCCCGCTAATCTGACCGCAGAGGCAGGTCGTCCCTTACTGCTCGGCTGCAACATCACTACGGAGCCAGGTGATATGGTCTACCAAGTGCGCTGGCTCAACAAGCACCACAAGCTCATTCTGGCGTACGAACAGGGAGCGTCGCCCCACATCAGTCACCAAGACCAAAATGTGCAGCTCACTGTCTCTCATCACAACGCTAGCTACATAACCTTCACGAAAGTGCAGGCTGCTGACAGCGGCTGCTACCACTGCATCTTTGATGTTTACCCCAAGGGCACGCAACAAGGCTTGGCGTGCTTCAATATCATCGGTGAGAGTAAATCTTACAAATATGTCTAAAATGAGCTTTAACCTCAGAGCCGTTTTTAGGAATGTTCCCATTCTGTCATGTCTGTGGAAGTGACTGAACTTTGAGTTTCTTTTAGGTGTTTAAGCTCTCATCTGAGAAGCTTCTTCAGTTCTAAAACCAAATGATGGAGAGTCTCAGGTATTTAAACCCTAGTGGGACTTGTTCTCCTGGAACTGAAGAAGCTTCTTGATTGAGAGATAAAACCTCTTCACTAGCCTCCAAGCTCCTTAGACCCATTCTGCAATAATATCCTTACTGGTGGTTCTCATAACATCCCCTTGATTCTGTTTTCTTAAAAACAACAGTCTTCGGTCTGCATTTTTCAAGGTAGCAGCTCCAACTGACATTTGAACTTTTGTGCCTTTATGATAAAGTCAAAGCCTCTTTTGCAACTGTGTTTATTTGTGGAAGTCACATTGCACAGTATAAGCTTTGTTTTGCCTGAGGGCAGCAAAATCCTGTAAAACCGGAAGTAGCAGGTTAAAGTCTGAACTCTCAGATCAGCAGGAGCAGGAGAGCCCACCCAGGCTGCTAACCTTAGTGCTTTCTGTTGTTACTGCTAAATGTGCTCATACATTATTCTTATTTAAAGACCATCTCTTCTACCCTAAAAGCTGCATGGAGTTAATGAATATCAGTGTAGACAGCTACTTTTCCATACTAGATGACTATAAAACACTTTGGAGCAACTCCTGTTATTTTAAAATCTGCTGTATAAATAAAAATGACTTGATTTGGCTACAATTTTCTGTGTACCAGGAAAAGTGCATTTCGATGGCAATAAGACGGCCATAAGTGGAAAGCCGACCACCCTTTCATGCTGGTACAGCCTCCCTGGCAGGGTCCGACAGGTCTTGTGGAGGAAGACAGCCGAGCAGGGTGACACCACCACTGTTGGCTCCGTTGCTGAAGGCAACCATTACAAAATAGAGGAACAGTTCAAGGGTCAGGTCAGCCTGAGCCGAACTCTGGGACACACTGAGCTGACGATAAAGGCTGTCCGAACGGAGGACGAGGCCTGCTACACCTGTGAGTTCCACACGTACCCAGATGGCACCCGGGCCGCCACCACATGCCTCTCTGTTTATGGTGAGATCTTATTTTTTTGTTTACTTGGTTGTTTTGTTTTTTACTGTATTTGGTCCTTGGAAATTGTTCCCTATTAGGTGATGAATTCTATGTTATCCAAAGTCTGTCATTACATATAGCTGACAAAGTTGTCATGACATTTAGTCATTAGCAACTCAGTAGCCATATTTAATCAGCGCCTCTATATATGGCTAATCTCCAAAACCCCAGCTTTGAATATACTCTTCAAAGTTAAACTACAACCCTCCTCGCTCGAATTGAGACAAGCAAGGATCATACACTGGATGATTGCTCAGGCGCTATTTCAGGCAGGCAGTAGCCATGATAAGTAGTCATGGTAGCTTATCTTATTACCATGCCATGTCAGCTGATACCCTTCTACACATCTTATTGGTAAATCTCATATAGAGCCCCCAATTTAAGTTGCCTTAGCTTGGCAACAGCTGCTACCCACCTGCAAGCCACTTTGCAACCCATATCTCCCACAGAGCCTACTTTCATGCTGTGAGTGTCGTACCTATTATATGTGTTGGCCCTTGCTGCTGCTCTCCCAGCCTCCAGTTTTCCATATATACACATAAAACGATTGGGAGATCCCACAACAGAGCAACGGCAATCTTCTCATTGAAATACACAAAAATCTCTGTCTGTTAGTTTCTTTGACCACCAACTTGTCCTTCAGAATTAAGAGTTGAGGAACCAAATTTGTCACACAGGTATATCTGAGACCCCTGATTGTTCTTATCTATCTCATATATTGTGGCATAATCATGTTGCCGTGCAACTACCTAGCAACAAGCTAAAATTGCATGTTTTTGTTGTTTTGTTTTTTTTGCCTTGTTGCATCTATAGCACCTTGTGAAATTATCCTTTTGCTATTTCGCACTAACATATCAATTATACCCACAAATCCTGAAAGATCTAGCAATGTGGGTTTTTTTTCTTTTTTGTGTTTAGACACATAGAACAGCTTACAGGTACAAACAATACTGGAGCATGAGCATTTGCTAGCAAATATAAACTAGAGCAGATTAAAAAAAACAATTTTCTTTTAGCTTTAGTTGTATTAGGAGGCACACCTACAATTTTCATTTTATAATGGGAACACTTAATAATAATAATAATAATAATGATAATAATGATGAAGATGATGATAAGACTATTTCTGGACATCTGGAAATGACTAATGTGAGCTGTTTCCAGGAAATGTCAGATAAATATTTCGCTGGGTGTTGACATGGAAAAGTGTTTCCATCCTTTCCATCAATCTGTGCCCATTGTTAGTGTCATTTAGAATAAAAATAATATGTTGGAAAAAAATTTAAATGGCATGGGAACTTGAACTGACCAAACTGATCATTCCAGTTCAATGAGTAGCGCTATTGTTAATTTCCCACGCGGAACATGGATCTCTGAAAGTAAAACATATTATTAATATTACCAATCCTGTATTTGTTTACAGGAACATTTATACAGTATGGGTTAGTGTCACATGCTAGAAAGTTAAACTAGTTTTCTTCCCTAAACCTGCTCCTAACTTTAACCCAGAACATGATACACAAAAGAGGAAAAACAAGGTGTGGCTGTAAAGTTCGGGCTAAATACACTGGTGCTGGCGCCTTTCTATGGTCTCTGCCTTATCTTTCACCCTCTCGGAAAAGGGTCTTGACATGTACCACAATGAGAATATACTGAGGGCTGAGAGGAAATGTGTACTAGTGTATGTGTGTGTGGATCCTGTATATAGCTCAGGAAAAGGAAAAGCAGTGTGTAAACAAACCACAGGCAGCTCAAAGGTGAGAGGTACTGGAGAGGGTCATTAACTACTGTTCTGATCTCTTTTTCCCCTCAGTGAGAGAGAGTTGCTTAGACCACTATTACACTTTTACACATGAATTATACTTCTGCATCAGATCTACTCAGTAACTTATGCCAGAACCAGAGTCCCATTTTAATTGTATGCTGTGAGCTTCCACGTAACCTGGCCTGCGCCTCCTGAGAAGTGTAACTGCATTGGATCAGTGTATACCACAACTTGACTTGAATGGTGTGCAAGATTGTGGTGTAGAGAAAAAAAGGAGTTTTGGGTTAAAACGTCAGTTGGGACATAGATTTCCATCAGAAGACTAAATGTAGCTCTAGTGATCATGAGCAAAAGTTCCAGGAGTGAGAGTAGTTGCTGATCTTCCTCTGTGAGTGCGTGTGTGGGTGCTTTTGGAGTGATAATGAGAGAGGGGTGTCACAGAGGGGAAAGTGGTGATTAATGTGGGATCAAGCCCAGGGGATGAGTGGTTTACTGTTTCCCTAGACACAAAGCCTAGTGTGTGTTTGTGTGTGTGCGTATGTTGCTTTCCTAACAGGCTTTGCTTTTGTCTGAACTGTTGGAAGCAGACACCAGATCCAGACACACACATAAACACACACACAGTCAGTAAAAGCTGCTCTGGCTCTGTTCTCCGTCTGGCTTTTGTTTCCAGGCCTGTCGGAGGACGACTTGTGTCACTGTGTCGTCGGGGCAGAAAGATTGACAGGCGATGTTGTCTGTTTGTCCATCTTCATTAGGAAGGCAGATGAGCAAATCTTTGTTTTCTGTGGTGTAACTAAAAGAATACCAAAAAAGAGTAACACAGAATGAAAAAATGACCTAAGAAAAATTGCAAAATAAACTTCAAGCAGCCATTAACTCAGTCTGTCTCTCTACAGTTTTACCCAAACCAGAGGTGAGCCAGGTGACCTCACCTTCAGGGATCACTGAGGCCAACTGCACGGCCAAGTCCCGGCCTGCAGCGGAGATCATGTGGAACGTCGGCAGTGACAACCAAACCCTAGGCCCACCATTTTCGTCGGCCTACGAACAAGGCGACGGTACAACAATAGTGACGAGCACGCTACTCTTCCAGTCTGGGCTGTTCAGCGACCTGTCCATCAAGTGCATCGTGCACCACCCGGGTTTGAATAAACCCCTGTTGATGTCCCTCAACACAAACAGTGAGGACCTCCTGAATGATGTCTTGTCCTGTCACACATTATAGCAAATATAATATGCCATAATGTGTAAAAGCTCCTTTACTAGGAACAGGAGCTTTTGTTGACAAATGTGAATTCTCTGCTATTTTAGTGCTGGGTAATTATGGCTGCTTTGATGGGGTCCCGAATCCTGTAATGCCACATAGTACGGGAAGGATTATTTTTAGTACAGAGAACCTTTCTTGTCTTACCACATCACCTAACATGTTTATTCCAGATGTCATACATAATATATATCCTACTTTTAGACATCATCTGTGTTTTGGAGGAAATGTGAGCTTGTGTGTTTGTGTGCCACAGTGGGTCCAGCCATGGTTATCCTCATCTCTGTGTGCGGTGTGGCAGCGGTCCTCCTCTTGTGCTTGTGTGTGTGTCTCTGCAAGTGCTTCATCTGTACGGATGGTGAGTCTAAAATCTAAGCTTTTTTTTTTTTTAAAAAAAGCTTCACATTTGCATTTCTTAAATAGCATTCAGTTACTGGAGTGCTAGGATTTAGCTTGACGCAACAAGGCCAGCTTTGCCGTTTAGTGGTGTCAAAAGGCATTTCAGAAATGCAGTGAGTGTAGTTTTTGCAATAATAAATTACAGCCTGTCATCAAACATAGACTAACTTCTGTTACGAGACCATATGAAGATTTCCCTTATATGGTTGGCACTCTCAATCCTAGTAGCTCCAGAAAACATGGCTGAAGAAAGTCCATAAGAAGCCCTTTGAGGTATTCCCTCAAAGTTCAGCAAAACAGTTATTCTGGGAAGCCTTTATGAGGAACCATGTAATTATATATGTCAAGCAGAAGAAATTACCAGACTTTTTTTTGTTGTTGTTGTTTTTTTTTTTATTATTAAATTCTGCTTTACTTAAGGTTTTCTAGGCTTTCCTTTATCACAGGATGTCCATGATGTGAGAAAAACCCTCAGTGCATATGCAGTGTTTGTCTAGTGGCCTGCTGTGCTGGCCAAGTTTTGAGTGCCTCTTGTCACCGTGACTGTGATAAAGTGTCCACATTTCTTCTGGTTACATGAACAGAAAACATCTTGGCATTTATGGACTGTGACATACCAAATCAGCCTCCAAGAACTACAGTGGCACAACTACTGCTTCAAGGACTGACAGATAAAACTTGTTTTCTTTTCAAAGTTAAACCTAATTATTTTGTCATTTGTAATTTTGAAAATGAACAAAAAGGGGGAAAAAATTATTGAATGCTTGTATATAAAGGAGGTAGATCATATATCATTACCATTAACATTTTAGCTAGTTTTAGCTCAGAGTTTACTCTCGTCACCCCTATTTTCTAACATACTTACTATATATAT